TTTTTTTTAAGACTTTTGTTTGTTCAAATGGATGACTTGATTTTCTGTCTTACACAACGACTTGCTGCACGGCGGTGCGGCCGATGCCTACATTCTTGCATTCTTGCGGTGTGGTCGCGGGCACTCCGCGGGCAGTCCGCGGGCACCAAGGCGGGCACTGCGACTCCGGCTAAACGTGGGAAAGATTGTTTGGTCGCGCTGCCGTCGGTAATAAGGCCGTGCCGGGCCGTGCGGTGCGCACGCACGTGCTCGCGTATTCACCGGCACGTCCCATTCGCACGACACGCCACCTGTCTCTCTCGCACCCTTGTGGGTCGCTCCGCGGGTGCGAGGGAGACGGAGCGAGGCCCGCGGCAGCGGCCCGCCGCTTTTGTGTCCGAGAGGCGCCACCCGCGGACTGCGGGGACTGCGCGGCCGAGACAGACTAAGTGGGCCCAGTTTCGGGCGCGCCCACCTCGCCGTGCCGTGGGCGTCGCCACGGGTCGCGGCCGCCGAACAGGAGTCCTCATGAAGCTGGCCGAAGTGACGCCGGGTCGCCAGCACGGTTGCGTAGTCATTGAATAGTCCTATATTAGTCGGTGTCCCAAAAGGATGTGCGGAGTCATCACCCCGTTACTCGATCTGCTACCGCGGTCGCGGCGCTGCAAGTGACGCAAGAAGCCGGCTTTGTTTTGAATGCAGGTTAATAACCCGCGCGCTATGAATGCGCCGCGCGGCCTCTAACTCTGTCTGCGCCTGCACGCCAGAGAGACCGAGAGTGCCGAGAGAGAGAGAGAGAAGAGAGAGAGAGAGAGAGAGAGAGAGAGAGAGAGAGAGAGAGAGAGAGATGAAGGGAAGGTGAAACGGAAAGTTGTTTATTGTCGGAGAATGGCGAGACGGCGATATACGCACGCGGCTCACTCGTTGCTTCTGTTTGCTTACGACTTCGAGGATCCCGCAGAGACTCGTAGACATCATAGGACCGGACTCTTGCCTTTCGCAAGTCGATCACCGATCGCACACAGCGAGGCGCAGAGTCTGCCAAAACGTTTGCAGCGTTTGCCGCGCAGCCGGCCCCATTCGACTGAGCCTTGCCGCGCCGTGACGGGCCGTGACGCGTCGCTCGGTCGTAAACAGTGCCGGGCGGTAACAGGTCGGTACCGGGCGCCGCCACGCCACGCTACGCCACGCCACCTCGGCGACATCGTGTTACGCTCGATCCAATACTACGGTTGTTAGGCAGCTATCTATAGCGGTGTGACCACGCGGCCGCGCGACGCTATGCGCTTCTTTTCTTACAGCGTCAGGACGAACGCGAACGCCGAGTTGTTATTTTTTTTTGCAGCGCGGGTCACGCGACTGCTCATACACACCTTCTAGAACTATTGACGACCCGGGGTGCTGGAAAAATACTCCAGATGGTCCGGACGCCTATCCGTGTTTTCCTGGTGATTTTCCTGGACGCCGCAATGCGGACGCCGCGGAGTAATCTTCTTCTTCGCGCGACTCGTCTTTTCGGTGTGGAGCGAGAGAGACGGGACGCGACCGGTTGGGATCAGCCGCTGCGGCCCGCTTGTCATTGTACATCGCAAAAATGAGTCCCAAGGTGAAAAGCGTAAACGGAATGGATGGCCTGATAATGATGATGATGATGATTTGAGAGCGCAGCGCCAAGGCCACGGTCGCGGGCCGCCCCGCCCCGCCAACTTGAGCTCATTGACAACACAATGGGCGGACGACGCGCTTCACATACCCTGGTCTACCGCCCCAGTCCGTGCGTGCACCCAAACAGCTGGTTAGGTTAGGGTAGGTTAGCAAAGGCGGTGGAGGCGACAAAGAAGAGTGTGAAAATGGAATCTATGGGTTGTTTTAGCAAAACGTTGCAGTGAAAAAAAAACCTTCAAAAAATCATTCTATTAATATTTAAAAAATATCCCCCATTCTTGTCTCGTTCTGGTGCTTCTTGCACAGGTAAAAACTGAAGCTAAATTGACTTCCAGCAGAACGCCGACAGTGCCCCTGTACGGTATTCGCCATTAATGCACACTCGGCAGCGTGCCAGACGCACGCAGCTAGCCGGTCCAATGACTCGGAGACTCTGACATTGAAAACGCCAACGGCGAGGCGAGACGGCCAGTTATGCAACCAGTCTGTTTGCGATGCTCGCAGTTTTATTAATTGGGGCGTTATCGGCGTTTCCTGGGGCATTGTTCGGGGCGCGGCCAGGTGCCGGTGATAAGTATGTCGTCCTTATAATAATCGGGCGAAAGTCGGCTATCTCCATTGCACTGTGCGTTGGCAGTTCGCACCGGGGTGCTCTTTTCCTGTCTGCCAGCCTTCGCTTCCGCGAACTGGTGGACTTTATATAGACTGGATCATCATCTCAAGGGCTCTCAGTTGTTTTCTGCATTCCGACGCCCTGCGTACGCACTGGGTACTGAAGGTTTTTCTTACTCTGTCGAAAAGAATAGTCGGTATCACTTGGCATCAATTTTCTTTCCTAACTTGACTATGCCCGCTCCTTTTGCCAGGAAAATGATTTAGTTTCTTATCCCTCTGGTGCATTCCGGACGCGCTTATATGAACCCCCACGGCTCCAGTTGGATCCAGTCTCTGCTTGTTTCTTGTTTACGTCGGCGCGCTGGGCTGCTGGGCTTCCAGACAGTTGGTCTCGCCTAGTTGTTGTTGCCCTACGCCTCGCCAGACCGGACCGGACCTGCCTGGCTCCCTGCCTGGCTCCCTGCCTCTCGCCCTGGGCTGTGACGTCACCGTGACGTCACCTGCCGGCTGGAGGGCGCGGAGCGCGCGGAGTACCCTCCCCTGGACACGTAGGCCAGTCTGTTTTTGTCCACTCACGCACTCCGTCTCTCTCGCGCTCTTACAGGACGCCCCATGAGTGCGAGAGAGACGTGCCGGGGCCTATGACACTGGCTGCGTGGTTCCGCTCCGACCGTGGCCAAGTGAGGCTAGCGCGGCCCAGGCGGCGTGACACCAACAGGGCGATCAGTGCCATCAGCGTGGCCGGCGTGGCCGTTCAGGGCGGACCCAGGCACCATTCCAATCAGTCCACCAACAAAAACAACCACAAAACTCTCCCACGCGCCATGGAACCCGGCAGGCGTCGCGGCGTCGCCAAGGCGATATTCAGTGACTTCTCAAGCGGAAGTAAGAAGGGAATTGAGTTCCAAAGCGGTGGAAGAGGGAAAGAAGTCGGATTCTGGGGTTCTTCTCCGCGGCGTCTACTCCGGTGGCTCTCGTGCGGTTTCGGTTTCCGGATGGAAGGGTTTGGCCCGTTTTCACGGCCGCGGGTCGCCACGTCCCGTTAAGCCAACGGTACAGTGTAGGCAACACTCTTGCCATTTCGGGAAGAAGCCTGTCCACGCGGCTTGTGAAGTGAGGCTGTTTCGCGATGCGCCTTCTTCTTCCCTTCTCCCTCTGCCGGTGCCCGCCACCCCGCGGCAGCACGCGGCAGGCAGGGGTAGTCCAAGGACGACAGGATGGGGCTGCAGGAGGGGAGGGCGGGGTTGTTTATAGTGGAGGCTCGCCGGCCGCGGATCAAGGAGTATGATGAATTCAGCAGTGTCGAAATCCAGTCCCCGTTGAACTCGCAGCTGCAGCTGACCCCACATCACTCACTACCTGGTGGCGCATCCTCGCGCCTGCCGGACGCATCCAAGACGATTCCGGACTGCCAAAACGGCCGGACCGGTTTCCGGCGAGGTGGATGATCGGTGCGGTGAGCGGGAGTCGAACCTCCGTCACCTGTTGCGTGGAACGAACGCGGGCGATGCCGTGGGGGCGGCTTGTCCGCGCCCTCCGCGCCCCGCCACGCGGCCAAGGCGGCCAAGGCGCAGCAGATACATCAGCTGATCACTTTCTCTGGGTCTGTGCGTGGCGGCGTGGCGTGGCGGCGTGGCGTGGCGGCTTGCCCCGCGCTGCCGCTGGCTGCCACTCACGCTGCCGGCACGGCCGGCACGGCCGGCACGGCCTGCCCGCCCCACCTCCGCCACCGCCGGCCCGGCTCGGCGCGGCCCGGCCCCGCCCGGCCCGGCTGCGCTCGGCGGTAGCCCGCTCCGCTCGGCGCGGAGGTGACGAGTCTGCCTCCCAGACCACACCGTGGCAGTCGTGGTCGAATCGTCACGTTGTCTGCCCTGCACCGCCCTGCACCGCCCTGCACCCAGGCCGACCAACCCGTCGCCAGCAAACCGGTCTTTCCGCGAATGGACTGCGCCCGGCGGATGCGTCGTCTGCTGGATCGACGGTGTCAACGAGTGTCAACCGTGTCAGCGCCTCCGGTGTCCGCTGTCGCCGAGTCAAGCAGTGCCGCAGGGGTGCCAACCCCGCCCCGCCGATTCCACTAGCGTGCTTCCGAGGTAGCGTGCTCTTACATCGCCGCCTTAAAGTGCTACAAGTTGGCGACACTGCGATTGCGGAACGGTGAAGCGCGTACTGTACCGCGAAGCTGAGGACATGCTTTCGGAGAGCCGGAGAGGAAACGGGCTTGACGCGGTCGTCCCGCGGAAGGAGTATGTACCACCAGTGACCGCCAGTGACCACTCGCATCCGGAGTTAATGCCCTTTTGACTGGTGTCGCTGGTGTCACTGTAATGTCACTGGCCGGCGCCGCGCTGCCTCATGCCAAGACGCTGTCGCGGAGCGGCGCGTTGTGTGCGTTCCAGTGAGACATTGAAACTGCCGTCAAGTTATCGACCCTCCTCGTCCGATTCAGTGACTCGTGTCGTTACGAGATGTCCTTTGGAATGTCTGGGGTTCAGGAAGTGGACCATGGTTTTGACAGGATCATAATTTTGCGTGCTGGCTTTGGTTTCCCGCGCTTTTGTTAGTGTCGTACACTGCGCTTGCATTGGCAGGACTGCACAATGAAAGCGTGTTTTGGCGCGAAACCTTGCTAGTCGAACCTAACCTTAAGAAAACCATGTCGAGTCGACTAGTCGCAAGACTGTCTTTCAACATATCCTCCCTGACTGCCTTTCTGACTCGTTGTGGGTTGTCTGTTGCAGCCGGAACCAAAGCCTGCCCGCCGCCACCATGGTGACGCCCGCCGAGACGGTGGTCAGCAGCACCGCCAAGGAGCTGGAGGCGAAGCAGCAGCCGCAGGAGAAGGACGTCCCGGCGCCGCGAGGTGAGTGCAGGACTCGGCGGACGAGGACGCGGGTTCGAATACCCGCCTTAATCTGGCATTCTCTTTCGTTTTTTTCCCCGCGCCGTGAGCACATTCGTGCCAATCGAGCCGTGAAGCAAACTTTTCGTGCAGTTTGCATTTTTAGAGCCCCCGCCCAGACTAGATAAGCACACCAAGCAAAGTCGAGACTAGTCCCTCAAAGTCGAAACGGAGTCGTATTTTTCGAAACGAAGTGAACGACGCGCACGCGCCGTTCCGACGTTACTGTACCGAGCGCCGTCTCCCTGTCATGTCCAGACCACGTGCGTGCGGCTGTCAGGCCGGCATCCTTTCCACAGCCTTTGTTGCCTTTCTCGTTTTCATTAATTGATATCAATTAAGAAGCCGCGAGCAGGAAGAAGCCCGCCCCATTATGCAAAGCGATTTCGCGGCCTGGCGTTCGTGCACGTAACGACGTAACGACACATCGAAAAGCTGTCCGTCACCGAGAGTCACCGAGTCACCGCCATGGGCTGGGCGAGGTGGTCTTATTGTGTCGCTGTGACCTTTCTGGTCATCGGGAGCGCGGCCGGGGGAGCAGAGCAGAGCACACTCTCAAAGAAGGAGCCTCTCGAAGCGCACAAAGATTGGCGCGTTTCTCTTGCTCCATGCATCACTTTTATTTGCGTGTGTCGAAAACGAATGGCTGCCCGTGCGGTGTTCCTCCCGGGCCGCCAGGCCAGCCAGGCCGGCCAGGCCGGCCAGGAGGACTGGATTGTTTTTTTCCAGCGCGGACTTTTCCGCGATCGGAGAGAGAATTGGCGACAGTGGCGTCCGGAATGGGGCTAAAGGAGGAAGTCCCTGCGACAGGGAAGGCCAGAGAGAGTTCGACTGGAGCCCCCTCCCCTTGTGGGGCGTCTGGGGTGATTTTCCGCGAGGTGGGGCACGCCCCGGCCCACCCCAGCCCTGCCCATCCACACGCCTTTTTACTGGTATTTGGCCGAGCCGGGCAAAGCCTGGCAAAGGCTGGCAAAGCCGAACCCTGGAGGGCGGCTTCCACGGCAGCACACGTCCCGGCAGGACTTCCTACTTCGAAAAATTGGAATCTCACTTGCACCTGGCCAAATTTTTGCGCGGATTATTTTTAAAAATAAGAAAAACAAGAAAGGCATCATTTTTTTTCCGTGTGGTCTCCAGAAATAAGATACAGTCGGCCAATCAACCGATGAGCGGTCATTTACCCGAAAGATTAAAACGAAATCCCTCTCGCGCAGTGAATGGAGGGCCGTCCTGGCGGTCTTGACACTGATTTGCGATGCGATACGGCCGCATTGTGTCGGCCGGCGCCTTTTCGACCAAGGACCTCCCTCCAAATTATCTTGTTTTGCTGACGGATCGGCGCTGGCCGCATCCGATCCTGTTTCAGCAGCACGCGGTGCACGCGTGCCCCGGCGTGCCCTCCAAAACGATATTCAGCACGGCTTTGACCTCCCCGCCGTGTGCATGTGTGCGTGCGTCTGTGTGTACAAAGACCGGTTACTCGAGACTGCTCCCTGAGTACTGGACCTCACCACCTTCAAGCAGGCAGGCAGGGCCCCAAGGCCTGTCGTGCCAATAACGTGCAGTATTGGCAGAAACACGACGGCGGCAGGGTCAATGGGCGTCTCAGGCATGTTCGGCTTGTTTAGCGAGGAGCTGCTGTTTATTTTTGGCCGTAGTAGGGAAGTGCCAAAATGGCTTTGTTGTAGAAAGGATTGCGGCGGTCATTAAATGTGTCTGTGTGTGTGTGAGCTCCGGGTTGTGTGGGTGCGGCTGCCTGCCCTAAGATGATGATGGTCATCCAGGACCCCGCCCAAACGAAGCCCAAACAACGGAGAGCCTCCAGGATCTGGCGGGGCTTGGCGCCTTGCTTGGCGCACGCGATCGGAGATGTCTTCCTGATTGAAGCATGACGTCTGGAGTGGCGTTCGATGGACACCTGCCGCCGCTTCTGGAGACTTGGTCCATCGATGCCCACGTCACAGCGCGTTTTGCTGATTCGACTATGCATCCGTAGTCCGCTCCGCACTGGTTCACAGATCCAGCCGCGCTCATTGGACGTCGTGTAGTCGGATCATCCAAACTGCAGACAATGCGCACCTAGGCGGGACGAGTGCGCACCGCGGTCCTCGCCGCCCCGCCTCGAAATGAGGTCGAAGCTGATTGGCGCATCCGTTGGTCACAGCCATGGACTGGGCCATGGACTGGGCCATGGACTGGGTTAGCGGGCCGGGAGTCCGAAACCTTTGGCCCTCCCGCACGGCCTGCACGCCCTGCAAGGGCCTTTAGTCAGCTTCCTGTCCAGGATGCAACAACAACTATATACCATTCGCCGAGTCTGCTGGGTCTGTTACAAGTTGATTGTTGTATGAGGGGACCTGCAGTGGGCAAAACACATTTTTAGTGGAATTTTTTGTCGCGTTTTTTTATTATTTTGTTATTGTTTTTATTTTGGGAAATTCCATGCACGTGCGGCGTGCAAATTGAAAGCTGAAAGGCTCGCTCCGCTGGACTGCCGGCCGGGCTGACATAATGAGATGACGACGTGCAGATAGTGCCGCGCGGCAGCGCCACGGCAGCGCCACGCCACTCCGAAATTTGACGCTCCACTGTCGCGCGTCTCACCTCCGAAGCGACACGCGCGCCGCCGAAATAAATAAGCAATTCAAACTGCAAACAAAAAGAAGCGAACGATAAAAAGCGAAAATGAATGGTGAGAGGGCAGCGTTGTGATTCGGGGAGTGGCGAGGTGGGGCGAGGCCCACCCGAGCGAGGGATCGGCGGATTCAATGAAGCGAGGACAACGACTGGCACTGCCACACCACAAAATGGAGTATTGATTTGCGCACGTGAAAATTGAAAAACAAAAGTATAATCAATATGAAGAATTGGGAGAATCGCTCGAACTGTCTCCGGCAGTTGGTCGCGTGAAACTACCACTATTTCCCCGCTGACAGGCGATAGTGTGCATGACCGCCTTTTCAATCAATCCATGTCACTGCGTCGAAAGTGTGGCCGCGTCAGCCAAGCCCGGCCAAGCCCGGCCAAGCCAGGAAGCACGCTGCATGCCTGCAGCCAGCGCGCCCCGCCCCGCCCCGCCCCGCCCCGCCCGCCTTTTGCAATGTCGAGTCAATGTCACGAGTGCGTTCCATTCAGGGCCTTTGCCCGGTGTTTACCGAAGGGGTCGTTTATTTATTACGTAACGATTGATGTAACTGGTATTTTCCTCCCCGCTTCGTACATTACCCTACTGGAGTTGACCTGGCTGGTCGTAAAATTGATAAAGCCCCCCCCCCTCCCTCGCTCTGGGGCGTTTTGTAATTACCAAGGGGAAATAACTCCAGCCACACTGAAATTCATCAAACAAGTAAAATTCACTGAAATTTATTCAAATTCATCAAAATTCTACTGAAATTCATCAAAATTCAACTGAAATTTATCGAAATTCGACTAAAATTAATCGAAAGTCAACTGAAAGTCATCGAAATTTGACCGAAATTCATTGGATTTGTACACTGAAATTGACAGTGATTTCACCTTTGTAATTGCGCCCCTGGACCCTCGGCCGCCCTCGGCCTTGTTGACCTGGTTGGGCCGTTGACTCCCGGCAGACGAATCTCCCCGAGGCCCTACAGGGCGTGGAGCTCGGCGTGGAGCTCGGCGTGGACGGCCCCTTGGCAGGAAGTCGCCCGGTCCTCGCTTGTTTGTGTCCGCGGCCTGACCAGGGCCTGACGGACGACAGGGCGCGGACTGGACGGACAGGACACGCGGACCGTCCTGCCTGCGTGGGTGACGCGGTGACGCGGTGACGCGACGAAGGACAAGGCCTGTCACCGCTTGCCCGTGCTTGCCCATTCGGACTCCAATTTTCGCTCGGCTTGGAAGTCGCGCGCCAATGCGTGCCGACCAACTCTGCAGTCTGATTGCGGCAGTCTCTCTCGCGCCTTTTTACTCCGTGAGTGGGAGAGAGACGGGGCGACGCTGGTCGTTCTGGTGGGTCAGTATGGCCGCCGCTGCGGCCGGGCCAGCCCAGGCGGCTCGGGTTATTCGCACCGAAGCTCGGCCGACTCTCGGTCGGGTTCAAGGTGAACGCGATGCGCTCGTGGCGCTGTCTCTCTCGCACCCCTGTGCAGGCCTGCAGCACAGTGCAGCACGCCCCGTGGAGGGAACCCGCAGCACGCCGTCCTTCGTGCTGATGCAAGTCTGCGGAGTGGTGACCGCTCCCGGCACTCGTAACCCAGACAAAGCAAGTGCACGCACTAGAAGAACCTCGGTGCGGTCTAGCGCAGTCTAGCGTAGTCTAGCGCACCGCCGTGACGGCCCGGCTAAGAATACCGACCGCCCCGATGGCAGTTCGCGCTCTCGCTGTGCTCCGCTGTTCTTCGATGGGCGCTTCTAAATTTGGCAGTGTGACCCTTCAGTACGCCAGCACGGCACGCCAGCACGGCACGCCAGTCCGGCACGCCGTGACGCGGCATCGGCGGGGCGTCGAGTTAATGAAGGAATGCATAAACGATTGGCCGACCGAGGCTCCCCGTTCTGGAAGGGACTGTACACTGTGGCGGCCCGGCATGGCCCGGCATGGCCCGGCATGGCATGGCGGCAACAGTCTCCGCTGGTGGCGCAATCACAGGGGCAAAATCACATCGTGCACTGCCAAAATTTCTTTTAAAAAATAAATATTAGGTGTGTTTAATCAAAATTTCCTCCTGGCGTACAAGAATTGTTCTTTTTTAAAAAATTTAATAATAAAACACCGTAAAACGGAATCGAAATTTCCTTCTGGTGTAACCGGATTATTATTTTTTTAAAATTTAATAGTTGGTGTGCTGAACACCGTATAAAACGGAATCAAAATTTCCTTCTGGTGCACCGGATACGGAGAAGCGGGAAGGCGGACTCCTCTCTGCGTGGACTTCCCTCCTCCGCGAGTCGCTTGGCTGAGAGCGGCGACCAAGGCAAAAAGGTTATTCCACATTTCGCGCATTGCTGCGCGGTGCGCGCGCGGTGCGGACGGATGGCCGTAGGGCCGAGCCAAAAGTTATGAAATGGAATGGGATGGCGCGAGTGCGCCGTGAACGCGCCGCAAGCGTGACTCAACGTGTTGCGCGGGCTGGGAAAGGAAGGGGGATTTCAATTTAGGATCGGGAAATGAATGCATGCACTTACGCAGAGTGTTTTTTTTTCTTGAACGTGCTTATGCTTATTCCGCGTTCACCCCATTTTCAGCGTTGGCTACGTTTTGTTTTGGTACCTAATACATGGACCCTCCCCCTCCGCCTGGCCCGGCCGGGCCGATGTACCCTGCAGTACCTGTCGCGCGGCGCGTCACACGGCGCCCGTTGTAAAAATAGAAAAGCGCGCGGGTCAGGCCATGCGCCCCTTGTGGTGCACACTGTTTCGACACTGTTAGAAATCAATGAAGCCTGCACCTTTCAGTCCTGACAGCGTCTCGCCACCCGGCCGGCGGCACTCCTATCGAAAACTTTGGCCCACATTCAATTGAAGGCTCCTGTATTCACTTTCTCTTCGGAGGGCGGCGTCAAGGTAGACACCAAGGCATACCACCATCATCATCGCTGTAGTGGCTAGGTCCTTCCAGAGTATTGGGGCATTTCGTAGCCTCTCTGGCCGGCAGGGAACTCTACCCTGCGAGCAGAGCCTTGTAAACCTGCCGCTCGTCAGAGGAAATTACGAAATTACGCCCCCCTGCTGTCGCAGAAATTAGCTCTCCTGATTGAGAAGAATTGGCCGGCGCGTGGCGCGCGTGGCTCGCAGTGTACAGTCGCCCACAGTGGCGCGCGCGCGTTCGACTTTGGCTATTGGCACACTTGTGTGCACTTGGCTGTGCCTGTTGATTACTGCTCGACAAGGCAAAGGCAGTGCCCGGCAGTGCCCGGCTGTCTGGCAGGGCGGCGGAAGGACTGGAGGTCGTCGGGGGGACTCCTCGGGGGGACCCCTCGAGGGTAACCTGGTATACGCTAAACGAAAAACCGTATACGGTAAACGAAAAGCCGTACACGGTAAACGAAAAACCGTGTCCCTTTTGTCCTGTCCAAGGGTCACTTCACTTGCACACGTGGTGCCTACACTCAACATCTACATTTGAAAACAAGGACGACTAATCGATTAAATTACGTACCAAGTTTGGAGGACTTGGTGTAAAATAAATAGAGCCCTTCTTTTCATAGAAACTTACTAGCCTCATTTTTAGGTTCAATTTTTTTAAAATGTTTTTTTGAGGTTATTTTTTTTTTTGCTGTGTTGGTATGGTTCGGTTTTGCGCGGCTTGTCTGGGCGGGGGCGGGGCTGGGCGCATGCGGGATCGGCGCGAGGTGCCGACGCTTCGTTTGGCCGATTGCCCTGGCCGATGTCCGCCGCCAATTCTTTTTTTAATTATGGCGTTCGCCACTTTGGTCTGATTTAGTGCCCGCGACCAAATGGAGAGTAATCGTCTGGCTACTGCAGAGCGTAACTTCGTCGACAATTTTCGACATAGATTCAAAACAACTTTCCTTGACCCTGCGACTTTTCTCTCTTTTATGAAATAATGTAACATTTTGCTACTATAAGTTGAGTTTCCTAGATCTCATCCATTGAATGTTGGCACGGCCCGTCGCGTGCCATTGTGTCGGTGCGTTACCCAACACGCGGGGTTGAGGCGGGTCTAGGCTGCAGGACGGACGCAGGACTGAGGCAGGGCCAGAGAGTGCGTTGGGGTAGGTCACTCCCAGTGGAGGGGCCCAAACAGATTAAGCCCCAAGGCCGAGGGTCGGCGAGGGCCGAAAACCGGCTGCTGGCGCCCTGGGCCCTGCCTGGGCCCTGGGCCACGGCCCGGCCCTTTCGGGGCCCGTCCCTCAAGGGCTAGCCGGGGCCCGTCCCGAAGGGCCGAACTTGGATTGGCCCCAGGTAAGGCAGCAACGCTAGCCGGGCTGCCTCCAAACAACGCTCCGTCTCTCTCGCTCTCGAGTGGCGCTCCCTAGGGGTGCGAGAGAGACAGCTGCGAGACAGGCTGCGGGCCCTGCGGGCAGCGCCGGGCAGCGCGACGTGTTGGGTGACCGCACGTGAGCTTGTGTTTACCGGCTGCTGCGGCTGGCTACCTCGAATACAGCACGGCTCGGCCGCGGCTCGGCCGGCACGGGGACCTTGACATTGCCCGCGAGGCGCCGACGCGGCCCGACACTCCGAGCGTGGGATTATTGCACGGGTCACGCGCTGTCTCTCTCGCACTCGCGGAGCGTGTAATGTGGCTGTAGTTTTCCGTGATAGCGTTTCATTTTTCAAAACCGTCACAAAATAAAACAACTAAAAATTCAGCTTGTTACATTTTATTTTTGAAGGGCCTTCCCCCTGCGATGGACCTGCTGCCAGTCGTCCGTCAACCCCCTCCCCCCTTTCCCCAGCACCCCACGAGTGCGAGAGAGACACCACGGGCACCACGGGGGTGCAGGGCTCGGGCCAACGCACGCGGGCATTACGTAATTGGCGAATGTGGCAGCCCTGCTGACGCGCTGACGCGCTGCCGCTCTGACGTCGCCGTCGTGGAGGTGGAGGCCTCGCGGGAGGCTTCGGGGAAGGCCTCGCTTCGGGGATGGCTCGGCGGCAGGGCGGCAGGGCAGGGCAGGGGCGCACCCACGGGTGGGTGTATTTGCGGAACCGCCCGGCGCGCAGCCATGGCGCAGCCACCGCGTGCACTCCGAGCAACTGATGGCTTCGATTCACTTGACTGGGCACGGTACTATCGGACGGAGAGGGGGCGGGGGCAGGCGGGGGCAGGCGGGGGCAGCACCTCCAAGACTCTTACTTGTTGGCGGCAGGGGGCCAAGTGCAGGGCCGGCGGCGGGAAAGAGCGCGGCCAGCTGGTGCACTGTATTGGGGCCGACGAAACGCAGCTTTTCCTCCGTCAGGGTGCGACCGGGACGGACCCGCAACCCCGGCGGCTGGCCTTGACGCCATGGCAACGGTTCCCGTCTCCAGGTTCAAGCCCGGAAAGTTTAATATCCTCCCGATTTTTACTCATTTTGGGCAGATGGGTCATTTGTCAATGTTTGGCGCCTTTTTTCGCCCGGCGCGGACCGCGCACAGCATCCGCATCAGCCCCTGCAGCGCGAATCCGCGACTCCGCGGTGGAGTGCCTTGACATTCGCGTCGTCTGTCTCTGTCGCGGAGCTTCTCGGCCCGGCGGCGCGACGCGTGCGGTGCCGTTTGGTCGCTCTCTCTCTCTCTCTCTCTCTCTCTCTCTCTCTCTCTCTCTCTCTCTCTCTCTCTCTCTCTCTCTCTCTCTCTCTCTCTCTCTCTCTCTCTAACCCAGTGCGTCAGGCGTGCAGCTTTCCCGAGGCTTTCCGGTTCCAAATTTCGATTTGAATTTGGCGCCGGTTCGTTTCGGCCGCGGCCTTCGGGTGCCTTCGGGCGGCCGGTGGGGTGCACCCCGATTCGATTGTTGCCCGAACCGCAATCCGAATCCGAATCTCAGGGCGAGTCCGCGAGTGCCCGATCGTCATGGATGGCCTCTCTGTACGCGCTCGACCGCGTGCCGCCGTGGGGTTGGTGGCCGCCGCGACCGCAGCCCCCCGCGGGGCCCCGCGACCCCCGAGCCCCGGGCGGGGCGCCGCCGCGGCCGCCGCCGGACCCGGACGCGCCGTCCACCTCCTCGGCGGCGTTCTCCATCCAGCAGCGCGTCGGCAGTGCGTTGGCCGCCAGCCCCTTGCCGTCGACGCGGACGTCCGCGGTGCCGCCCCGCCCCGCCAGGGTAGTGACAGGGACTGACAGGGACTGTTCTGTTGCAGGATGCCTGGGCTCCAGACACTGCATGACGCTGCTGCTGTTTCTGGGCATGGCCAACGCCTACGTCATGAGGACCAACATGTCGGTGGCCATCGTCGCCATGGTGAACCACACGGCCCTGCCGCAGGTGCACGAGGCCATGGACGTGGAGGACTGCGGCGGCGCCGTCGGCTCCATCAAGCCCAGGAGGAACGACACTGTAAGTGCGGAGCGGTGCGGAGCGGTGCTGAGTGCTGCGGGTTGGACGAGAGCCCCTGCCGGGTAGGCAGACGCGACGCAGGCGTGCGCTGAACCGAGCCGGCTGCCTACCTCGCAGGCGTTCGCGCGCCGCGTCGCTCTGTTTCCGTCGCACTCACGGGGCGTGCCTTCGCGGTGCGAGAGAGACAGAGCGACGATTGTTCGGCTGTTGTCCGAGCCACTCGCGCTACAGGTAGCTTAGGCGGGCCCCGTCGGCAGCGCGCGGCATTCTCAGCCCCCCCGGCTCTCTGTGTGTGTGTGTGTGTGTGTGTGTGCGTGTGTCGCGGGTGCACGATAAGGGGAAGTAGACGCACTGGGCGTGCTGGGCGTGCTGCAGCGAGGCGACAACATCCTGCTTGGCTCGCCTCGCCTCCAGTGCCCCGGACAGGCTGGACAAGCTGGACAAGCTGGACAGGTGCGACAAAGGCGTCCCTTGGTGCCCGGTCGCTCCGTCTCTCTCGCGCACGCACGGCGAGACGGCGCGACGGCGCGACGGCGCGCGTGCTTTGGCGAGCGTCTGCCACGCACGTGTGCACGCGGCGCGCACGCGTAGCGCCAAGCCAAGGTGAGCCAGCCCAGCCAGCCCGAGCCCAGCCGGCACGGAATGTCCAGTGTCCCTTCTCCGGCGCGGCACGCGGCACTCCAGTGTGGGCACGCGGAAGGCGGAACCGCGAACCTTGCCGCGAACCGCGTACTGGAGTCGAGTTCGATTCCAGCTTGCGCCGAGCCGAGCTGCCATGCCGTCATCCCAAGGGCTGCGGCCTCTTCGCCTCTCGATTTGGCGGGGCCCGGCGGCACCGCGTGGAGGTCAGGGACTTCCCCGTGCCGTGTGCCGTCGATCACCGGGTCTTTCGTTTCTTTTGCCTGTCTTCTGTCTCGGGCTGCTCGATAGCGAAGCCACTTACTCACTTACACCTTGTATGGACCGGCCGGGCCGGCGGAGGTCTGATCCTTTCCTTCCTCGCTCACTTTTTGCTGACTTTTTGCTGACTTTTTGGTGGTGTCTGCATTGCAGGACGGCGACGGCGAGTTCGTGTGGAACACGTACACGCAGAGCTACATCCTCAGCTCCTTCTTCTACGGCTACGTGCTCACCCAGATCCCCTTCGGCGTGCTGGCCAAGCGCTACGGCGCCAAGTACTTCCTGGGCGTCGGCATGCTCATCAACTCCGTGTTCGGCCTGCTGGTGCCCGTGGCGGCCTACGCCGGCGTCGGGCCCCTCATCGTGGTCCGCTTCATCCAGGGCCTCGGCGAGGTGCGGAGACGTCGCTTCCACTACTCTCCACATGTTTTTTTCCGATTGAGAAATAATAATCGAAATTCCTCGCGAATTTCAGGGACCGATTGTACCCTGCACTCACGCCCTACTGGCCAAATGGGTCCCCCCGAATGAAAGAAGCAGAATGGGAGCGTTTGTCTACGCTGGTAAGTCACTGTTGGCTGGAAGCTGGCACCCCGACCCCACCGTCTGTGTCCTTCATGAGAGCAAGAATTAATTTTCCTTGTTTCCTTTCTGTAGGTGCCCAATTCGGTACTGTGGTCTCCATGCCTCTGAGCGGGCTTTTGGCTGCTTATGGCTTTGCCGGCGGTTGGCCATCCATTTTCTACGTGTTTGGAGTAGTGGGCTCAGTATGGTCTCTTGTGTTCCTGTTCTACGGTCACGAAGATCCGGAATCTCATCCAACCATCGACCCTGCGGAGAGGAAGTACATTGTAAATTCGCTGTGGGGACCCGCTGGAGTGTCGGTGAGAAAACAATCCTTCAAGTTGGTAGCTTGTTAATGTATTTATTTATCATCAAATATTGAACCTAATTTTTTGCTTTCAGTCTCCACCTATTCCATGGATATCCATTCTCAAGTCTCTTCCTTTCTGGGCCATTCTGATGGCTCACATTGGTCAGAACTACGGGTATGAGACTCTGATGACGGAACTGCCTACATTCATGAAGCAAGTTCTGCATTTCGACATTAAACAGGTGTGATTTTGAATACCTCCTGCAAGATGTTTTAGTTTCTGGGTTTTCAGTGTTTTTAAATTTTTTATTGTTATTGTTATTTTTTACAGAATGGCACAGCATCTGCACTCCCATACTTGGCCATGTGGATCTTCTCCATGTTGCTGAGTGTTCTCACAGACTGGATGATCTCCACCCGCCTGTCCCACACAACAGCCAGGCGCATTGTTAATTCCTTGGGTGAGCTGAGTTGAAGCTTAAAGGACTTTTTTTGACTGATTTTACTATAACTTAACATTTTAATCGTTTTTGCACATTTTTTCAGGTCAATATGGCCCCGCCATAGCCCTTGTGATAGCATCCTATACCGGCTGCAACCCTTTGCTCACTGTTGCCATTCTCACCCTTGGGATGGGTCTGAATGGTGGTATCTATTCAGGCTTTAAAGTGAACCATCTGGATATTTCACCTCGATTTGCCGGAATCTTAATGAGCTTCACAAACTGCACTGCAAATCTTGCTGGACTGCTTGCACCCGTCACTGCCGGCTACATAATTCATGGAAGGGTATGGTTTCCAATGGCGAATGAGTCAATTCTTTGATGACTACTTATCTCTCTATTGAGAGAAAGAAATTACAAATTATGTTTATTTTGATTTCAGCCTACTCAAGCTGCGTGGCGGGAAGTCTTCTTCATCTCTGCCGGAGTGTACATATTCTGTGCCACTTTCTACCTCATATTTTCCTCCGGTGAAAGACAATCATGGGATGACCCCAGCACAGATTCTCCTCGCCCTCAAGACCCTGAAGCTAATGGGCACAGCAAGAAAATGAATGGTGTTGAGAACAATGGTGCAGCCATTGAGGAAAGCCAGCATTGAATTGATGAACTGCCGGACCAGCACGAGTTCGTGTTTTGTGGGTTGTGTTTGCAGCATTGCCATGAAGGTGGCGACGCTTATTAATTTCTAGTGGGAGGTGTCCCATTGTGTGATGAGAGCTACAAACTTGAGACCAGCCTCACGTGATTCGATACCTGCTTCCAACTGCTATGCCATGAAGCTGAAAACCTTCAAGCATTTTTTTGCGAGTTTTGTTGAGCTATAGTTTGTGCAGATGTTCTGGTCGCCATAGAAAGCTTATTTATTTTCTTATTTTAAGGATTGGAAATGCATGGTGGATGTGACTATTCAGCATTTGATTAGATCAAGATAGCTGTACATAATTCATGCCTACTGTTAACTGTAAGGCTCCACACCAGTATTTAAAATTTGTTTCTAGAAAGAGTACGTGCATTTAAATATCATCTTTTCATTGTCTGTTATGTAATGAAACAAGAGGCAAAGTTGGTTTGTGATATAGAAAATTCCCTATGTTCTGGTGAGAATGTGTCCGATGATCACCACCTTCCTTATTTGAAGAGGTGCATCTTGACTTTCCTGTGGAGTTTGGATGACAAAATCAGAGGAAGGTTTGATTGTCGTTTATTTACTGCTAAACTGTAGATCCGTTTCAGAAATCTTAGACTTGGATTGGTACTACAATAAGACAGTACACTTAGGCGAATTTTTATTTTATTCCCATGTAGGTATCTTTAATTTTATCCCCTATCGTTGCCTTTGGCAGTAAATGGTCTATTTTTATTTTGAACCTGAATTTTCAGACAATTTTTCTGCCATTGTAGATAGTTTAGTTAAGATTTTAGCTGTGATACTCATCAGATTAAAAATTTGACTCTCATATGTGTGAATGATGACTCCTTTTTGTTGCCAGAGTGGAATGCCAGAAACATGTTGTTAATCCAAACGGTCTGCCATATGTTGACTGGTGGAATTAAATGCAAATTCACATACCATGTTTTGCAAGTGTTAAAAAGTGATAAGTTTTAAAGTATTTATTTCAACATATTTTTATGGTCATCATATGTATGATGCAGATGCGGGTTTGTTTAAGCAATGAGTGCTGAGCTTCCCCCATAAAATGAATGTTGTTTTTCCCAGTTGGGTTTGAGTTCTTTTTATCTTGAATTTCTAGAGGAATCCTATTGAATTTTTAATGTTTAAAACAAGCAAAGCAGGAAACAAGATATTTAAAAATACTACCTCATTTTAGATTATTTTCTCTGTCAGTAATTAATGGCTGACTGGAATGCTTGCAGATGAATTATATTAGTTTCTCTTGTGATAGTTTTAAATATAGACAGTGACATGGACATAAACAGTCAAATATCCCTCTTGAAAAGATTTGCTGTTGTAATAGGGACATGGAAGAACTCTTATCAGGTGCTTTCCAGCTATGACTTGTAGCTCCTTGTTTTCCTTTCTGTCAAACAAAATTTGCGCTGTGTGATGGGGATTTTAGTTGTGTTTTTATCTTTTGTTATCCATCAGCTTCCAAGGTGTACATCATGCACGTGTGAATTTGGTTTGCATTGAACAGTTTTCTTTTCCTGGACCTCTGTGAATAAATATTCAGCAGTATACAGTTGTTTTCAATTTTGGTTGTGAAGCGTTTGGAGAACTGATTTTATTCATTTAGAACTTAATGATTATAGGAAATGAAAGTACACTCTATAGATCACACAGTAGTCTGTTGCAAAAATTTAAGAAGATAGGAAGGCAAAGCACATCTCAATTTAGGAAATGAACTATATCTGTAAAGATTCATTTCAAGATTGGAAAAGAACAAACTTTCTCAAACACTACCAATGCAGTTAATTGTTATCTCTCTGGACAGTTTAACTCGATTTTTTAGATCCATCAGGAGGACATGTAGTGAATCCTTCTCTTGACAAAGATGCTCCTACAAAACAAAAAAATTAATTGTTCCTAACAAATTTTTGTTACTTTGAATTTAAGCAGTGAAGAAAACTATCTATGTTCCACCTTAGTTTCTTTTTAGTGTAAGATTATCAGAAACACAGATAGAACCTTGTGATCATGTACATTTATGTGTATATTCTGTTTCCACACTGTTAAGTTGTGTCCTACTTTGTACCCAAGTGTTTGTAACATCCATGTTACTTTGTAAAGTTAACCAGTATATGGGTTACAGATTGTTTAATGAAGTGCTAACTGATGCTGTAGAAAAACTGTAGAAAGTTGACGCAGCATTAAACTTTATGAGACCTTGTTACCAATAGTCAACTATATTTTGGGCTATGCCTTGTGTTGTATATAAATGTTGTTATGAAATAATGGTCTTATGATAAGTTGATCATGAAGTACAAGGAACACTATTCAACACCCAATCCAGTACCAAAATTGATGGGAAATGTGCTTTTTATAGTATTAAATTTGTAAGGATAATTTTGTCACCTTGACTGCTGTATTATTTTTTCTATACTTGTAAAATTATGAGATTAGCACACTTTTCAACATTCCATACCAAGATTTTAGTCATGGAAATGCAACAGTGTGCACTCATGAGTCCTTTTGGACATTGAGATGTATTGAGAAAACTTTTTTACTCGTTTTCTTTTGCTTCATGTGGAGCTGTAACCAACATCACTTAGACAGATTTTCAATGCTTTTGTTACCCAAGAGCAACTTTTTTTAAATAAATATTTTTATAATACACTTTTTGCAAGAGAATATATTTTTTTTCGCCTGTTCCTTTATGCCCTCAAACGTATTCAAAACTATTGAAGGCCTGGCCTTTCGCACGAAAACGCCTAGAGGGGAGGCAACCCATCAGGCAGCTTGGACAGATTCGGCTAGATTCGGCCGCGCAAGGTATCGTACCGCCTAACTGCCCTCATTTCACCAGTTCTATTTCTCTGGTCGTTGCAGGTTACGATTTGCAACGAATCGGAGCAGCTGAGGTCACTCTGTACTGAGGGCCCTCTGTCCATGTCAGTTTCGTCTTTCAAAAGTCGTTGGTTTCACCGCCGTCCCTCCCTCTCCGTCGTGGTGATCTAGGACGCCGTGGAATCAATGAGTTGTGGCCTGGTTGTGGCAGTGGCAGCGCCAGCAAGCTCCGTCTGCTTGTCTGCTTGCTCGAGCAAAACAGATGACAGAAACATTTCTCTTAAATTTGTCGTGGTAATATTTTAATTTCACTTAGTTGTGACAAGCACTTTGATGACTGTATTGCATCTGCCACTCGTTGACAGCTGGCATTGAAAACGTTGGATGTAAATGGTGCTGTGGAGTAAGTAGGCTCCCTATCCCTAACCCTTCCATTCGAAGCTGACTTGGTATATTTTCACTGCCAGGATATGTCAGATAATCTAGCAAACAACCCATTTTTTGGGCTGTTTGATTCTGCAAACGACGCAAACAAATTTTCCCAGCAAAATGACTCAAATGAAGATTCTTCTGCAAAGGAAAATTCCATATCAGACGATTATGAAGAAGAAAAAGAGACTACTTCTGAGTTAAATCTGCCAGATGACATAAACAATTTGATTCAAGATATTTTTCATATAACTGCATCCAAGAATGCTACTTCTAAACCTCTGGTCTATGTCGAAGACACAGCGGCTACTCTTGAAACTCCAGGCATCCTCGACATGAACTCTCTAGAACAAGCACTTTTCGAGCGACTGCTGTTGGAAGAACCAGGGAATTTTGTAGTGGCTCCTACATCCCTTGGCAATGCTGCAATCCACCATCATGTCATCGAAAAGGAAGTTCTTACCTATTTATATGATTGTCACAAACAATTGATAAATTTGCAAAGATTTAAGAAATACAAAGCTCTTGTGACCATGGATGAGCTTGTCATCCGAAATTTTGTGACAGCATTGATTAGTCCAGAGATTTATGGAAATCAACAGCTACACATTCAATTCATTAACATTTTCAATAACGATGATCATCTTCAAAGGCCGCTGGTATCTCTTGTCAATGCTATTGTTAACGTGACAGTTCAAGATTCAGGTACTGAGGGTGCCATTGCTGTATTATCAAAAGCGTTTTATCCTGTTCTGGATGAAATCAAAGAGCGCTTTGAGAACAGCACTCTTATGACTATGAATCGCAACCTCATGAACCTGGTTGGGGTGTTTTCATCCATCCCAGCTTTGGGTAAGATATTGAATCTTCACTTTCCAAGCCTGTCTGCTCTTGGCATTTCTTCTTTTGCTCATACAAATTTGCTATTTTTTAGCTGAAATTCTTGTGCATCATAGCACACCTGAAGCAAAAGAGGATGGAGCTGCGTATGGAGATACCTTATTTGGTGCTATTTTGTCAACATCCTGTTTGCCTAGATCAGGAATAAGATATAAGCCAGCTGAACAGGTAAATGTCATTTCAATTCTTATCAGACTGTCAAGGACAAGTTAACTTGCTATTCACAACTTGATTTTCTATTTTTGGTGTAGTTTCAGTTTGACCGCAGTATGGAGGACAGCTTTTGGATAGGGCTCAAAGCCAATTCTGATTTTATGCACAATGTATTCTTCAACCTTTTCAAAAATGACAAAAAAACAAAAGATATGATGCTTTCATGGATTGGATGCTGTCTTCATGCAAATGCGTCTAGAGGAAAGTTATCAAATACACATGAAATGGAAATGTCTGTACTTGCTGCACTGACTTCTGTGTCTGATGGATTTATGATGAACTTATGTGGAGTGTTAATACGTCTATGCAAACCATTCATTAACAAGAATGAAAAACTTATGAAAATTGATCCAACATACTGTGCTGTTGAGGTAATAAATTGTTCAGTATGATCACCTCTTCACTGACCAATTTTATGATATTTAATAATGTCTTTTCAATGCTTGTTTAGGATCAAAGGGAAGGAGTTCATTTGAAGGGAATGTCCAAGGAAACTTGTTTGATCACTTTGAGTTCTGATAGTGGTATTTCTGAAAGGCCCACTGCCCGTTCCTACAATTTCCTCTCTGATATTTTCTTCATGACACACAAGGCATTAGACCTAGGTTTTCGGGTTGTGTTTGACAAGTGGATGCAAATTAATCAAGAACTATCAAGGATTCAGCAACAGCTGGAAACAACCCAAGCAAGACTACCTGAAACAGCTCAAACACTCAGACAAATGCTAGAATCTAAAATGCAGAGGTAATTTAAAAAAATAGATAAAATTGGTTTTCTTATTATTAATTTTTAATCCTCTTTCCTCTATTTTTTAAAGGTCTTTGGCTATGCGGTGCACTCTTCTAGAAGAGAATAACTTACGTCTTTTGGCCGAAGTATGTGTAGCAACCTCAGAGTGGCTCATCCAGGTTGCCATTCAGCCTCCTTTTACTGGAGAACCTGAGACCTATGCTCCAATCAATTCCAGGGAACTATTCTTTCCATTACCAGAATATGTGCCGCCTACTTTAAGTTGCGTGCCAGAGATGTTATTTGAAAATCTTGCCTGTTATATGAGCATGGTCCGACGATTTGCTCCTATTTTCCTCGATGACAGAGGCACAAGCTTTCTGGAGCCTCTTCTGAGTCAGGTAAATATTTTAATGTTTGCCTAAAAAATTCTGCGCGTTTGAAGATTGGAGTATTTACAACAACAAGATGCTTACAGGTGCTAGTGTTTATGGGTAACAAAACACGCATGCGTAATCCTCACCTACGAGCACGTCTTGCGGAGTGTATGGAGTCTCTTTTACCTCACCAAGAACGAGATGAGCAGATCCCTGGGCGCTTCCTACCTCCCAGTGTACACAAAGAACAACTCTTCAAGCTTCATCCTCATCGCGCTCAAGTATGTCCTTTTCTTAATCATTCTCCAGTCAATGTGCAATTGGTAGGAAATTAAGTAACCAATTATATTTTGTTGTTTTCTTTAAACCAGATTGTTAGAAGTTTATTGGATGTATTTGTTGGTATTGAAGTGACTGGAGAAAGTGTTGCTTTTGAACAGAAGTTTAACTATCGTCGACCTATGTATATTGCTATGGATTATTTATGGGGTATGGAAGAACAGAGAGCAGTTTTCAAGTGAGTTACTGTTTTTTTGTCCTTTTGTATGTCTACAATTTTATTATATACACACTGCTCTAAGACTTTTTTCCCTGTTTTCTCATAGAGAGTTGGCCAGGGAGGCTCAAGAAAATATCAATGCTGTGACTCCTCCATTGTTTTTACGTTTCATCAACCTTCTGCTCAATGATGCAGTTTTTCTCTTAGATGAGGCTCTTGCCAACATGGCACTGTTGAGGACTATGCACACTGCAAGGTATTATTCATCCATGTTTGAGCTTACTTTGAATCTTTGGTTTCAAAATCAAGTAACAATTGGGTCGGTCTTAACTCAAAAAAATAAATCATTTTTAATTCGGTGCAGGGATAATGGAGAGTGGGATAATCTTCCTCGAGCGGAGAGACAACAGAACGAGGGCCAACTCATGCATATTGGAATGCTAGCCAGGTTAGTACAAAGTACCTTGATCCTTTTTTGTAAAAATTGGCAGTTACTTCTCCACTGTTATCCTGTACTCTCTCTCTTTCAGGTTTGATAATATCCTTGGTAAAGAAACTATTCACACCCTACAGTACATCACAACAGAGGTGACATCAATCTTCTGTGATCCGTCTCTGGTCAACAGAATAGCTGCTATGCTTAACTACTTTCTGACCCACCTTGTAGGACCTGAGAAAAAAAAATTCAAGGTACCTATAAATTCACTGCATACAAAGAAGGGAAATCTTCTTTGATTTCACTGCATTTGTTTTTATCCTTAAATATTTTTATAAACATAATCATCATTCTAAATTTTTTAGGTGAAAGATCGGCAGGAATATGAATTTAAGCCGGCAGACTTGGTGATGGACATTTGTAGAATCTATGTCAATCTTGGCAAGTGCGATGAGTTTTGTTTAGCTGTTTCTCAAGATGGACGCTCATATAGCCCCAGTTTGTTTCAGCAAGCAGAACATGTACTAGGTATGTTGTCTTTATTGTCTCCCATTCAAAGTTTTGGAAGGTTCATTTGTAAATCATTTTTTGGTCTTAATGGTGGTATCTTGTGACCTTTCAGTACGAATTGGTGGAGGCATGCTGATAACCGACTTCATGCAAGTTGCATCAAGAGTGGCTGAGCGTGCTCTTGAGCAAACTGCTGAAGAGGAAGCCTTGGCTGAAGCACCTGAAGAGTTTTATGACCCAATCTTATCGACATTAATGGTAGACCCTGTTATACTGCCCTCATCAAAAACCACTTGTGACCGGTCAACCATAGCCAGGTATTTTTCTTCAAAATATTATTATTGTCTCAGAAGGTAATTCTGAAGTATTTGCCTGCCCCTAACAAAATTTCATTTTTGTTTTCTTAGTCATTTGCTTAATGATCAGACTGATCCTTTCACCAAGGCTCCGCTTACCATGGACCAAGTCATTCCGGATGTAGAACTCAAAGAGCGAATTGAAGCTTGGAAAACTGAAAGGCGAAGTCAAAGAGCAAGTGCCTCCACCAGTCAGGAACGCACAACAGTACCGACAGAAGAACGAGAGGGCACAAATCATTAGGAAAACAACTTTTCCCCAGGATATCTGAGGAGGTGCATTATGTACAGCATTGAATGTTTTTAGATTGAATGTTGTTAGATTGAATGACAGTGAGTTGTTTTCACTCACCACTTGGTTTGTTCCCTTATCAGTGATATTTATCCTGTAGTGACTTGATGTTGGTTTTCTCCTCTTTGCTAAATTTTTAATTAGTATTATTGACTTACTTGAATCCTAATGGAGAAATCCTACATTCCATTGACTTCTCACCAAGTCAACTGCAGGAAGTGGAATGCATACATTTTGTAAAAAAAGTCTTTATCTACTATTTCTTCACAAGTACCTTGCATATTTGTTAAATGAAAAATCATTGCCTGAATGTCTTTTTTCCTCTAATCAGATCCTTTTAATTGTTATTAATCTGCTATTTCTTCTTTTCTGAAACTTAAGTTTGTGCCATTTAAGGCTTGATGACTTTGAAGGTACAAAGTCCTCTCTAAAATTACTGTAGATTTACGTAGAATCTATTGTATTTCTTTTGTGATAATGGATTCAAATGCTATCTTTAAATTGCATATCTGTGATTATATCCATAATTATTCTATCCTTGAATGTGTATACAGCACAATAAAAATTACGATACATCAAGCACAGCCTGTTGGTGTTCATTTCGCCTCATTCCAGCCATCAACTTTTCCTCGTTCATTTTGTCTCCATGCATACACACACGTCTCCTGAAACACTTTCTAGGCCTCGACGCTGCTGTTCGGCGGGTTGAGAGGTGAGACCACCTGGACGGGTCATGGAGCGTGCAGACGCAGAAGTGGGGAAAATCCAGCGACTTGCCTTGCCTTCATTAAGGAGCAGGCGTGGGTACCAGGACTACCAGGATCCAGCCCCCTCCTCCGCGACCGCGTGTCCCCGTCCCCACCCCACCTGCCCCCCTGGTGCCACCTCTGGTCCCGCCCCTCCTCTCCCGGCCCGCACCCCATGCTAGTCCAGACAGACAGTCAGTGCCACGGCGGACGGTTCCCCGGGCAGGACAACTTGCACGCCTCGTCTCCAAGGTAGGCATGGCCACGGTCTCGAGTCCGAGTCCGTCGACGGAAAGCGTCTTGACAGTCTGCTCAAAGTGAGAGCCTCTCTCCCCGTAGATGACAACCCGCGTCGCGGTGGTGTTGGTGTCGTGGCTGCTGGTGCTGGCGTCGGCCGGGCCGCACCACAAGCACCGCCTGCGGGACCGCTACCTCGAGAAGCACGTCGTGTACTACACGTCCAACGGCGAGCAGGGCGACTCGTACGGCGCCTTCTCGGGCCCGCCCTTGTCGTACCAGCCGTGCCCGGGCTGCGGGGGGAGGCGGCGGAGGCGCGTCCTTCGCGCAGTCCTCGGCGCAGTCCTCCGCGTCCAGCCAGTCCCAGGGGGGAGGCTTCGGCGGCGCGCAGTCCCAGGCCCAGTCCGCGGCCAACAGTGGCGCCTCGGCCGGCCTGGGCCTGGGCGGCTCGCAGTCGCACAGCCAGTCGCAGGTAAGCAACAAACCAACCAAACGAGGCATTCCGAAAAGGGACTGAGTGTTTTGAAACGGCGCCGAGCAAGGTTGCAGTGCGGCCGACCGGAGCGCCTGCGCGGTAGGCAGCGCTGATGCACGTCTGCGGCGGCACTGCCTACCCTCGCAGGGGCTCGCCTGGCCGCGCAGCGCAGAGGGTTTTCGAAAGCGAACCAGCGAGAACACTCGCGATTTAGACTTGGCACTTTCCCGGCGACTGTGTTTTTCCGCCCGCCGCTCCACGCATTCGGAATGAACGCGGCCGAGTGGCCGCTTCGAAAACCGGAGCAGCGACTCGTTTCCAGCTCCGCGGCTCCGCATCGCAACCTTGACAACATCGCCCATCCGCGTTCGTCCAGGACGCCCGCCTAATAGTGTGCCAAATTATCGAGCTGCTCGCCCCGGGACCGTTCATAAGCTTAATGAGGTTCTGTTTGCAAAAAGAAAATCGATAAAATAAAAAGTTGCCTCTTTGTCCTGACGCTTTGCTTGACGTGTTCCAGGCGTCGTCGTCGTCGCAAGCTGCCGCCCCGGCCGCGCCCGTGGTCCACGAGCCGGTGTACGAGGCCCCGCCGCCCCCGGAGTACATCGCCGTGCCCCAGGTGGGAGACGGCAGTGCCGAAAACAAGAAGGCGAAGAAGGCGTCGATCTAAACGCCGCTAAACGCTGTTGCTGTTGTTGTTCTGACGCGCTTCTGGATCCGTTCCGGGCCGCGGTTGACGCGCACGCCTTCGGGTCGTGCCGATGGAGTCGTTGAAACGCGTCCGCCTCTCCGTAATGCACGGTCTGCCGCCGTCAGGCGCGAAACATTTTCCCGTCCGCGGTTGTCGCCTCGGGATGTGTGGAGTTTAGAGGCGCTGGGCTCTGCGCCGGACGGGTTTCCCTGTTTCCCAGGACTCGCTTTTGGCTGGCGCTGTCCAAGGACTCCAAGGGCGTGGAGGCTGGAGGGGAATGCACTCGCAGCGTCCTTTGGACGTTGCCTCATCCCGGCCACCAGGCTAGCCTGCTGCAATGGCGCGGCGCGGACCAGAGCCAGGCCTCGGCAGAGTAGCGATACAGGAGCAGAACCCAGCATCAGCTCATTTTAAATAATTTAAATGTAAATTTTTAATGTTTGTTTAAGCCCCAGCCCGTGGTCGTCCCCGCCGTGTCCCACAGTCAGTCCCAGAGCAGCGCGCAGTCGCAGTCCCAGTCGCAGGGCGGTGGCTGGGGCCAGCCCCTGGTGTCGGGCCCCTCCGGCGGCGGCTCTAGCTACGCCAACGCCAACTCCCACGCGGCCGCGGGGGCCGGCGCCGTCAACGTGAACGTCAACGCCCCTGCCGTCGGCGGCGTGGTCAACGACGCCCTCAACGTGAGTGTGGTTTTCGCCGGGCCCCGGCGCCCAGCCGACTGGTCCACCAAGTGGGCCACTTCTCTTCTTTTCGCAATTTGAATATCCGATCGGCTGAAAGGGGCCGGGCGAGATGGCTCGCGCCAAGTCAGTGTCTGATGGGAGAAACCCGCGCGCGCCCGTCGCCAGAATTTTAATTATCCTAGCGGAGCGGCGTTTCGGAGAGATTCGCAGAGAAACGTTTCCGAACACGAAGAACGCCGTCGCGTTGTTTTCCAGTGGAGTGACCCAGCTGGGGACGGCGCCTGCGAAGTCACGGGTAGGCAACCCTGCGGCACAGCGGCGCGCCGCTCGAGAGGCCGTTGCCTACCTCGCAGGCGGGACGCCCTCCGCCACCACACTCGCCGAACTGAGCGGCCTTGCCGCCGGCGGCGCGCTGGGCACGCTAGTGTAGGAACAGGATGACGGGCAACAACAGTAAACAAAAGAGGCGTTTTTTTTCTGCAGTCAGTCAGCCGCAGCCCCGGTGCGGCATACACTCATCATAGTGCGGGTGCCGATTGCGAAACGAAATAATGCAACCGCCTTGGGCGGCTCGCTGGCCTCTCTGCCTCACTGCGGGACGGCTGTAAACGGCCGGGCTCCGTCGCCGCCTCCCCGTCCTCAGCACGGTGGTCCTAAAGTTTTTGTGTTGTTTAGAACCCGCGGAGAGGTGGCAATCGCACTGTTTGGGATGCAAGTCCTTCTCGAGTGAGAAGGACTACCACACCAATGGAAAACGAAACACGTGCTCCGAATCTTCGGCCACGTCCAGAACCGTTTACGGCGAGGCCCCCAGCTCTACCGAGCTTCGGTCCGAGGGGCTGCCCCGGCCCTGGCCTGGTACAACCGGAGTGTGTGTGTGTGTGTGTGTGGGGGGGGGGGGATGTGGTAGCATGTACGTGCGCAAGGTGAGAGAAAGGAAGGCGTCCTTTACTATTCATTGGATGGGCTGGGCAATAATTCATCAAAGTGCTAATTCAAATTAATGCAATGGCTGAAAGAAAATCCTCCCTCTTCGGCCAGCGTCCGCCGCCTGCACTCGAGCCGTCATGGTAATATTGACACTGAGACATTGCGGCCCGGTTTCCGAACAGCGTCGCTCTGTCTCTCTCGCACTCACGGCGCGTGCCGTAGGGGTGCGAGAGAGACAGAGCGACGAGGCTGGACGAGGCCCTTCTGCTTGTAGTTGCGCCACGCGGACCGCACCGGGCTGCGCGGCTGCGAGTCCACTGGGAAAGGGGCCAGTCATTACCCCGGCGCCGCGTCCGAATGCGCACGCTGCTCCGTCTCTCTCGCACTCGCGGGGCGTGCCTTCGGGGTGCGAGAGAGACGGGGCGACGCGCGGCGGCTGCCTAGGACGCGCTGAGGCCCGGCGGAGAGGTGCGAGGTGAGCGAATGGCAGTACCAAGGCTGCGGCCGCGCGGCTGCGTCCGAGAGGAGGGGATGGCGAGGCACTGGACCGCGTTGCCCGTTCGGCGTTCGGCACTGGGACACACTGTTTACAGTGCCGCGGAAAAGGGCCCCGCTTCGGCGACGATTTTTTCCGATTTCTTAAACACCCGTCATAACCCTAGCGCCTCCCGCATGTCCTCCGGCGTGCTGGCTGCCGGCCTCGCCGGGATAATTCTCGCTGTGGGAAACTTGGCCGCGCGACACCGCGGGGGCGTGGGGGCCCTGGGGGCTTAGCGCGTTAGCTGCGGGCCCCGCCGACGCCAACAACACCGCCAGCGTGACGTCACTCACGAGCCCCTTGTCCTGCTGCAGATCCCCGTGTCCGTGCTGGGCGCCGTCAACACGTTCCTCAACAACAAGGCCGCCGCGCGGCAGGCAGGTAAGCAGTCACTTTTGGGGGTTCCCCGCTGCGGTCTCTCTCGCACCCGCAGGCGACGCCGCACGCGCGCGAGAGAGACAGAGCGGCAGTCCGTCAGCGGAGGCGGTTGCCGTGAGCCGCGTGCATTGAGGTCTCTCCACGCGGCGAAGCCGGATTTGGCCGTCGACGCGACCCGGCGCGAGTACTTATGCCTTTTTTCTGTTTCCCCGCAGCGCTAGTGTCCGCCCCCGTGGTGGAGACCAAGTACAAGACCAAGACGTGGACCGAGTCCAACGCGGGGTCGTCCTCGCAGGCGGGGGCCGGCGCGCAGGGCTGCGGCTGGTGCGGCGGCGCCAACGCCAACGCGGGGGCCAGCGCGTACGCCGGGACGCGCACCCGCACCAAGACGCGCTTCCGCCAGCGCGTTAGGCAGCCCATCGTGCGCGGCCCGGAGTTCTACAACGACATCTTCAACGTGAGTGCCTTCATCCGCAAACTCGCCGAGGGAAGTCTGCGCGCATATTGATGTGGTGGTTGTGTGGAAATGAATTGGTTGTTCTCTGTCCGCAGATCCCCGTCGCAGCCCTGACCTCCGTAGGACAGCTGGTTGGAAACGCCGCCAACGGTAAGCCGCCCGCCGTCTCACCGAAGCACTGTTTAAAAGGCTCGATTCACAAAAGCAACTCTCTTTCCTTCCCGCTTCCCCAGGACTCGGCAACGTGAACGTGAACGTGGCGGGGGCGGCCTCCAAGTCGTCGTCGGCCTCCAGCGCGGGCTCCAACGCCGGGGGCGGCGGTGGCGGCTCCGCCTCCAGCAGCGCCCAGTCCCAGGCCTCCGCCAGTGCCAGCGTCAACTCCGGCTTCGGCGGCGCCCGCGCGCAGGCCCAGTCGCAGGCCCAGTCGTCGGCGTCCTCCGCGGCCGGCAAGTAGACGCCGTGGCGGTAGGCAGCCCATTCGACGCCAGCCCCGCACCGCCACTCTTGGCGAGGAGTGTACGTTTGGCACCGCCACTACCTCCCGCCCTTTCGTTCGACTACTGCCCCGAAACTGCGGATTTTGAAGCATTGGATACCTTCTGTGATATATTCGTAGCAACTCCGTCCGGGACTAGCGTGTACTTTACCTGCCCTGATTTAGGTTCGTGAGTGTTGTTCGGATTTCCCAGATGTTCAATATTTTTGTTGTATTCGAGTGTACCGTCCTGGCGATGAATCGATATACTGTGATACTTTGATTTGTGTGTTTTGTACTACTATTCGGTAAAATATAATTATGCTAAGTGAACCGTGGTGTTTTATTTTCCGCTAATCCCAGCCCCCTTGTAGGGTAATCGCATTTGGGTGGCGTCGCATCGCGGAACAACCAACTCCTCACACGACACGAAAGGAGATCCAAGGTTACCTGCGACCCGGCATGCCCCGGCATGCGTCAGGTACGTCGTCGCGTAGGTACCTCTGAGCGGGCCGGGCCCGGCGCAACCGCCGGCGCCGGTACTCCCCCTCCACGCCGACGGGGACGTTCCAGGCGGGAGGCAGCGGCCCGGCCCGAAGGTGCCCCCCGACGGCCCCGACGGCCCCGACGGCCCGGCCAGTACCTGTGCGACCGCGGCGCGCCTCGCACCGTTCGCTTGCAGCCCCAGCCCGGCCCAGTGCGTGTGTGTGTGTGTGTGTCAGGCACTTCGATCCAGCGCGGGAAATCGGCGTGAGACAGGTGAGAGTCCGGGTGCGTGTTGATGTTTGCACGGGCGAAACGAAGCGGAGCAAAACGCGCTCCGTTCGGCGCGGCCCGATTTTTCGACCGGCACTGACCACCGCCGGGCGGCACTGCGCGCAGGGCGGCGGCGGGCGCGTTCCAAATGTCAACAAACGCCCCGGGCGAGGGCATTCCCCCCGCGTTGCGGTGCGGCCGGTGCGGCGCGCGCCGAGGCTGTCTAATGAGACAGAGACAGAGGGACACACTGGCACAGCCTCGGCCTGCGACACAGACGAAGACGGACAAAGGGCGCTAAGAGGAGCCGCCAGGAAGCGCGCTGGCATGCAACGCGCGTGCGCGGGCGGCTGCCAAAAAACACCGGCTGAGAAAGTCTAAACCAAACCGAACTCTGTCTCTCTCGCGCTCGTAGGGCGTTGCCTGCAGGTGCGAGAGAGACAGAGCGACGAAAAATCTGTTTGCCTTGCAGCGCACCGTCGGTACTACGTACACGAATAAACGTGACGGCACGATTTTAGAAAAATAAAAACAAAACAAGGAAACCGGTTTGCTTCCTTCCGGCCGCGCTGCTGCGCGCTGCCTGCTCAGGCCGTGCTCCTTGATCACCACACTGCACGCCGCCACGCCGACTGCACTTAGCGGGGCGTTACTGAGACCGAGGAAAACAAAATAACCGGCTTTTGTGGCGTTTCGACGCACATTCCCGCGACGCTTACCGTGATTGCTGCTGAGTCGCTTCGGATCAAAAAGCAGGCTGACAGTGGGGAAGCCAAAGTCACCCCCTGACGAAACCGGAGTCCTGGGCCCCTGGAGGACGGCGCGCGTCAACGTCCCAGACAGTTGCAATTAATTCTTGATACCGAGCGGGTTACCTGCGCGGCCCCCGTTCGACTTTATACCTGGCGGCGTTGGGACGGGTCCTAAAGCAAAGGCAGGGACGCTCTGCGTTGTTACCCTGCTGAAAATGTCCACGCGAGCCGCGAGTCGAAGTAAGACGAAGCTGGCTCTGAAACGGATTGAGCTCCACCAGTCGGCCAAGGCTTTGCTTCCCTGAGGTGGGGGGCCGTTGGAGCGCCCATTCAATGTGAGGCCCACTCTTCCAGCGGCGTCCGGAAAATCACGTCCCGCGACTCCCACACTTTGTCAAGCCAAATTGCGACTCTTTCCGATACGACCGCTTTTCGTTCGTGTCGGATTCGGTCTGGCAGCAAAGCGCCGCCTGCAAGGAACTGTATCGCCCGTTAATGCTCCCCGGGTAACCTTGAAAGTAAGGCACGTGCACTGGCGACTGCCTTCGAGAAAAAGCCGCCCAAGCTCGCCTTAGGCGCGCTTTGTCGAGAGAGGCAGGACTGTCCGAACGAGCGCCGCCTGGCAGGCAAACGTGGCACAGCCAGGCACAGCCTGGCCTAGCAGGCATCGGTGAGGCAACGTGAGCAACGGCGACGCACGTCGGTGACGTCACCTCTCTTCGATGTTGAATCGGGCAGTGCGTCGGCCCGAAACCTGTCGCGCCGTGCTCCAGAAAAACCCAAAGCCGCGGAGAGACTGCCCGGAAGTGGAGGTGGCGGCTGACTGCACTCACTCTCCTCACGGGGAGAGTGGCAAGCAACACGCTTCCAACCACTTCACTTTTAAGTCCTTTTGTTTGCCGCCTGCGGGAGAGTGTACAGTGTACACTCGCGGCGTCGTTTTGCATAGTGCCGCCGGTAAACACCGCTTCAACGCCTGCCGAGGAACAATCGTTGCTCTCTAGTTTTTTCATTACAGTATTTTCCTGCTGCGGGCAACGTTGCAACGCGTTGATACTAGAAGCGTCCACGGAGCGTGGCCAGCGCCACGCTCGCTCGGCGCGCGTGGAGATGGAGTAAAGATCTTTCGGTTTGATGCGGCATCGGCTGCACCTGCACTGTGCACTGCGTGTGTGACTGCGTGTGTGTGTGAGCCGGCAGCCGCTTTCTCAAGCCAACAGTGTGTGTGCGTGCCTGTCACCCAGCGCCGCCCGACCGTGCCCGTTTCGCACTCCGACTCGCCATCCAGGGAATTCCAGTGTGACGTGCAGCGAGGCACAGCCAGGCTGCACGACAACGCCCCATGCCCGGCGCGGGTTACTCTAGTGTAGGCGCAAAGTGCCTGCGTGCGTTCATCCTCCCCGATTGATTGCAGAATGTTGGCGATCCGAGTGGCGATGGTGGCGCTCCTGGTGGCCTGCGCCGGCCTGGCGCACGCCGAGGAGTCCCTGCAGGACATCGACAACAACGAGGTCCTGCCCGAGAACGACGTAAGTGTACATCTACGTGACCAAAAAAGCGGGCGCGGTTCCGGGATTTGAACCCATGATTCTTTCCACTGAACCAGGTGGTGATGGCTCGCGTTGACGAGGTGCCCGCCACGACCGTCGTGCCGCCGGGGTCCAGCGGCATCCCGGAGACCACGCCGATGCCGACGGCCGACCCCGCGGAGGGCAGCACCACGCCGAAGGAGACCGCCCCGCCGTCCACCGCCGCGCCCCCCAAGCAGCCCAGCAGCCTCGGCGACTTCCTCACGGAGATCATCCAGGTGAGGCCGGCGTCGAACCTAACCTAACCTAACCAGAATGGACATGGAAGTTGTCGACGTTGAGTAAGGTGCTGAACGCGGTTGACTCTGTTGCAGTTCCCCATCGCCGTGCTCCGCTCCGTGGGCAGCCTGCTCCGAGACACCTTCTCCAGCGACCGGCGCACGACCGCCACCACCACGACGGCCGCTCCGATCGACGCCTAGGATGACGTCGTGCTCGGCGTGCCGCGTGCGTCAGAGGGCGTCCACAGCATTCAACACTCCGAGTGCAAAGTCGGATCGTGCTCTGACAGCGGCAGTGTAGCGGTTGCTCGCGTTTTGTAAACCGTTATGTAAAGGCCGCATGCATCGCCTTCACGTTACCCAGTATTACGTACTGATTCTTTTAAGAAGCTAATTCTCGCTTGCTCCAGCTGTTGGAGTTTAGCGCTCGCCGCCGAGCCTTGTGAGTTATGTTAATGCATGCGCGCTCGGCGGCTGAGCTGGTTCGACTTGGAACCGCCGAGCTCGAAAATTCCGTCCGCTTCAAAAGTACTTAAAAAAAGCGAGACTGTGCGAAGTCTTGCACAATGACAAGACGAAGCCGAGAGGACCCGTCGTGGAAATCCACTTACGTGCTGTGATAACTTTGCGACGACTAGCGCCGCCGTTTGTAAGATAATGTATTACCGTAAAGGTGAGCTATTTTGTCTTCAATAAAGAAATCTGATAGTCAACTTGTTTTTTTCTTTTCATTCTACCCAAATGCACATTCTCATAGTCAAAAACCATTGGGCACCGAGCATCTATTTCTTAGACCCGTAGTAACGTTTCATATGAATTTCAGACAAATCGGAGGTGGTTTAACCATTTTTGGCGAAAAAAGGGCAAGGCTTATACAAAAAAGGAACAGATCTCTTTCAAGTATTTATTCCAAAACAATTTATACACAGTCTTTTCCGTTCACAACCTATAATAATAGTTATAATAATAATCTTAATAGTTTTCTCTTTGGGTACAAAAAAAATAAAAATGACAAAAAAACCAAAAAAAAAACCGCAAGAGCAATAAAAGACGAGGGAAGTCCACTCTCGACGCGATATCACAAAGTTTCTGACATGTTTCCTAGGCGACGACCACGCTCTTGGCCTGCTCCTCCTCCTCCTCATCCTCCTCCTGGACGGCTTCCTGTATGGTCATGGTGCAGCTCGGCCTGCGCATGGTCTGCCGCAGGATGGAGGGCGGCATGGCCCCGGGGGGCGGCAAGGCCGTGGGGGGCGGCGGCGCCGGCGGCAGCGTCTCCGGCGGCGAGGGCTCCTGCGTCGTGCGGTTCAGCAGGTAGTCCAGGTCCTGCGTTATCCGGTTGAGCACGCTGTCGTCCTGGTCCGTCCTGGTGACGGTGATGGTGGGCACGGGCGCGGGCGCGGGCGGCGCCGGCGGCAGTAGGGGCGGCATGGCGGCCGCGGGCAGGGGCTCGGCGACGGCCATGACGAAGCTGGTGGTGGAGTAGCACGTGGCGTTGCACGCCGCGTTGTCGGGCAGCACCACCGCGTTGCCGGGCTGCGGCGCCATCTCCAGGTTGCAGCGCATCACGGCGGGGATGCCGCCGGCCGCCACCTCCTCTCCTGGAAAACAATCAGCTTCCTGAATTGTTGTTTTGAACATTGCTTGGGTTGCCTGCAGTGAGACGCACTGACCTATGAGCTCGACGCAGACGCGCGTCGCCACGCCCTGCATGCCCTGCAGGCCCTGCAGGCCCTGGTCCTGGAGGAAGGGCTGGTGGTAGGGCCCCCACACCGCGCCGACGGGGTCCACGAGGTGCAGCCCGGAGCCGCCAGGCCCCAGGACGCCGGGCGCGGGCTGCAGGATGTGGTCCGGGGCCTGCTGGATGACGTGCAGGCTGCTGTCCCGGATGAGGTCCAGCGGCGCGCCGCCCTCGCTCTCCGCGTTCGCGTCCTGCTTGGTGAAGACTGGAACGGACGGGGTGTCGGATTGGAGTCGCGCTCGGTTGTCGGCAACGAAACCACCACACTTCTACTCACACGTGAGCGAGCCGTCGTTGTCGCCCGGGTCGTCCTTGCGGCCCAGGGCCTTGGCCTCGGCGGCCGGGCTGGGCGCCTCGGGCTTGACGGCGTAGCACACGAGGATGAGGAAGCCGAGCAGGCCCGCCGACGAGCCGAAGGCGATGTGCGCGTAGCGCGCCGTGTCCGGGGCCAGGGCCGCGTCCACGTTCACGTACACGATGCTGGAGGCCTGCATGGCGGCGGTCGCCACGAACAGCAGCGTGGCGCGCCGCACCAGGCCAGACCTGTCGGCACGGCAGAGCTCAGGCCACAGCGACAACGGGAACAGCGAGCTCCCCGTCACACAGTGGATTTGCCAGAAGACCGGCCAAAAGTCTAGACGCGTTTTGAGCTCTAGAGTAGCTAAATGGGACACGAAACGGACGTGTGACCCCACCAATGGACTGCTCTTCGAACGAGGAATCCATTGGTGGGGTCACACGTTCGGTTCGAGTCCTGTTTGGCGACTCTGGAGCTCAAAACGCGTGAGGACTTTTGGCCGCCTCCACCAGTGCGTCACTCACCTGCTGGCCAGCCCCGCGGCCTCCGCGTCGGCGAGCTTGTTGGCGCGCAGCGAGGACAGGCGGCGCAGCACGGTGCAGCACAGCAGCACGAACAGCACGCAGAGCAGCGCGGCCGACGCCGCGAACATGAAGAAGAAGGGCGACCCCGTCTCCAGCCACCAGTGGCGCACCGGCCACTCCGCCGACATGTAGGCCAGGTGCGAGCACAGCACGGCCAGCAGCGGCGCGCCTGCACCACGTCACAACGTTTATTTTCATTTTCATTTATTTTCGCGGGTTACTTTACTTTTCTAAATTTGCCTAGTTGACAGTGTGACACGGCGTGACACGGCGTGACACGGCGTGACACGGCGTGACACGGCGTGACTGGGTTGGCGTGGGCTTGGGGTTTACCGGTGGTGACGCCGACCACGGCGTAGTTGAGGTTGCCGATGCGCATCAGCTCGGTGTGGATGAGGAGCAGCTTGCTGATGTGCGAAGACAGCCCTATCAGGAGCAGCGCCTCCAGCGTCGTGGCGAGGGCGGCGTAGCAGGACTGCAACAAGCAACAACATCACGTGAGTCACGTGACTGCCATGCAAATGGGCCTGTGTGAGTGCGTGTTCGTGTCGGTGTGTGTCAGTACACTGCCGAGAACCGCGAGTCGCCGACAATTGTCGAGTGCACACACTATCTCTTTGTCAGGCTCCGCCACACGTACAGAATGGCGCACACACACACTCATTCTCGCGCACGCACGCACACACACAGCCGTACATCAACACGGCCCGGCAACGAGGACGGGGAGACGGGGCACAGCAGGGCACATAAGCCGGCGACCTCCAGCTCTATTACTCAACTAAAATGGGTAAAGGGGGAAGGGGAGCGGGAAGGGCTGCCGGGCCGCCGGGCCGCACTGGCCACAGGGCTAATCATCAGAGTGGGCGGCGGCGCGGTCCGTCCCGGCCCGTCCCGGCGAGACAACCGCCGATCCCTCTTGCGCCCTTTTCCCTCCCCCTCCCCCACCCCTTCCTTCTGCTGACCTAGGCGCATCGTCTTGATGAGGGAGCCCGGCAGCAGGGGCAGCAGGGGCAGCAGCCTGCGGGCTGATTCCGAACGGCGCGCCGTCTCTCTCTCTCTCTCTCTCTCTCTCTCTCCTCCTCCTTGAACTCGCGAGGCGCCCGGAGAGCTCGAGAGGAGAGAGAGAGAGAGAGAGACGGCGCGGCATCAGACGCCAGCCTGCGGGGAACAGCGCCGTAAACCGCGGGCAAGAAGTTGCCAAATCTCGGAGGGAGTCGGACTCTGGCTCTGGCGGCGCTGGGCCGCTGGCTCGGCCGTTCTGGCCGCTGCCTGTTGTTGAGCGGCGGCGGCGGCGCGCGGCGCGGAGTCGAGACGGTTCCCGCGGGGGACAGGCCAGCACCGTTTACCGTCTTGGCGAATACGACTCGCCGAGTGGTGAGTGGTCGCCGGGGAGGATCGCGGATCGGGAGGGGTGGCGAGCGCCGCCTCGGTCTCGGCCTCGCTCTCGGCTCAACCCATCTGGAAAGTCGAAACTCCCTCCCTCCGCGAGGCTGCCCAGGTAAGGCGTGCTCAGCGGATTGACCAACGGCGCCTGGGGGCCAAGCAGAGCCAAGCAGAGCCAAGCAGGGTGAGGGGGCCAACTGTGCCTCGCTGCAGCGGTAGGGAATCGGGAGGCGAGACGCGCTGCCGAACCAGACTTCTTCACTTCTCTCTTTCCGCGAGAAAGTCGGTTTGCTCTAACAATCTAGCGGGGCGATGACGGGCTTACCGGCGACGGCGGGCGGTGCACGGCGTGCAGGAACACGGCCATGGCGGCCACGGTGGCGGCGCAGCACTGCAGCTTGAGGAACAGCGCGCGCGGCCGCAGGCGACAGCGCAGCAGCAGCAGCACCAGGGTGAGGAGGGACAGCGCCAGGCAGCAGCCGCACCCCGCCGCCACCACCACGGGCGGCGACGTGTCCACCGCGGCCGGCGCCTGCGACGCCCCAAGAACCAAATGAAGCATTAAGTCCGGTGCTCATCGTTTGTCCAACCTGTCCAAATTTCACTTGCCCGTGAATCGGCTGAAAATTTTGTCCGACCCACTTACACCGCCACGCGGTCAGGCTGCAGCTAGAGAACAATTCGGCGGCGCTCAATTGATCTAAACACCGGCGGCTCACTCTCTATGTCAATCAAGACTGGATGCAGGACAATCCAAAGACATTTTAACACAAAATGTAATTCAGAGTAACAGAAGTAAAATGAACACTATAAAGAAAATTTCAGCGAAAGAGGGCACCCCGGCGAACCGGCCCTCTTCCCCGCTGGCTTGGTGGACCAGTGGTTCCCCCATCTCATCACAGGAGCAACCTCAGAGTTAAACCGCAGTGGCCCCGTCATTGGTCACGTCATCTGTGATGTGGAGGAGTCCTCTCATAGTAGGCCAGGCTGCCACCTTTCCCAGTAGTCGGGTTTCGTTCCCGGCCCCCTTCCCACTCAGGGGCCATGCTACTGGTACTCAGGAGTCTGCGTCACCCTGCCCAGCAGCGGAACCACTGGGCTATGAGAGGCACACTGCACGCCGCCCGATTTTGTATACTTGAACCGCCTTCTTGCGATGCAAGCTTGGTCAAAATATTGTTTGAGGTGCTGGGTATCGAACCCCGGACCCCGCAGTCGGGACCCGACGCCTCTGCGCTCTCGGCCACCACGGCCCATGGATGACGTTGTGCGAAGGGGAGCATTTGAAGCCGCTGGTCCGAACCGTATAGTCAGACAAAAAGAGCGGGAAGCTAGTATTCGATCGCTCGATCCGAGTTTAGGATTCAGAGATCTCAACACCTTCGGCCACCGAGGCTCGCCGGGTGAGCCGAGTGGCGCAACGGGTCCAAACCGCACCAGGAAAGCCACTCCTAAAATGTTAAGAATTGCTGGGAGTCGAACCCTAGCCCCTGCGCGTGTGCCTCTAACAGCCGAACAGCGGCGGCTGAGCGCGCAGAGGCGTTGATCCGCAACTTCAGGGGCTGGGGTTCGACTCCCTGCAATCCTTTACATTTTAGGAGTGGCTTTCCCGGTGCGGTTTGGACCCGTTGCGCCACTCGGCTCACCGCGGCTCACCCGGTGAACCGCGGTGGCCGAAGGTGTTGAGATCTCTGAATCCTAAACTCGGATCGAGCGATCGAATACTAGCTTCCCGCTCTTTTTGTCTGACTATACGGTTCGGACTAGCGGCTTCAAATGCTCCCCTTCGCACACCGTCATCCATGGGCCGTGGTGGCCGAGAGCGCAGAGGCGTCGGGTCCCGACTGCGGGGTCCGGGGTTCGAAACCCAGCACCTCAAACAATATTTTGACCAAGCTTGCATCGCAAGAAGGCGGTTCAAGTATACAAAATCGGGCGGCGTGCAGTGTGCCTCTCATAGCCCAGTGGTTCCGCTGCTGGGCAGGGTGACGCAGACTCCTGAGTACCAGTAGCATGGCCCCTGAGTGGGAAGGGGGCCGGGAACGAAACCCGACTACTGGGAAAGGTGGCAGCCTGGCCTACTATGAGAGGACTCCTCCACATCACAGATGACGTGACCAATGACGGGGCCACTGCGGTTTAACTCTGAGGTTGCTCCTGTGATGAGATGGGGGAACCACTGGTCCACCAAGCCAGCGGGGAAGAGGGCCGGTTCGCCGGGGTGCCCTCTTTCGCTGAAATTTTCTTTATAGTGTTCATTTTACTTCTGTTACTCTGAATCTCGTTCGTGCCCACCTTGGCCGTCTGCGCGACTAGCAGCAGCGCGATGGTCCCCGGCTTGGAGCAGGTGCACCTCGTGAAGTTGGAGCGGGCGTGCGTCGGCCCCTGCGCCGCGCCCTGCGCCGCGTGCGGCGGCGGCGTCCCCGAGTGCGTCCCCGACAGCGGGCCGGGCTGCGGCGGCGTCTCCCGGTGCAGCACGCACGCCGACATGTCCCACGCGCCCGTGTAGCTGGCGCCCACCTCGGACGTCAGCCCGCACACCTCCACCCAGCCCGCACGGCCGGCCGCCACGTCGACGCCGAGGTCCTGGCCCTCGCCGGCGTCCGCGTCGTCCAGCGCGCGCAGCCAGGCCTCGGCCAGGAAGCCCTCCGGGGTGACGACGTCGCCGGTGGCGGAGCCCACCCACACCGACACCACCCTGGAGTGGATCTCCATCTCCAGCTCCTCCTCGTTCCTGCAAAAGCAACACTCGTCAGTGAAACCCCAACGGAATCAAACCCAGTCGGTTTTTGCTGTCCACGAAAAAGACGTACTCCTGCTTGATGACGAGACGCTCGGGCAGCAGCTTGGACAGGTTGCGGTAGGCCAGCACGGCGAGGCCCAGGGCGCCCTGCGACGCCTGCGACGCCTGCGACGCATCGGCCTGGCTCTGGTTGCTCTCGGCCGCGTCCACGCGCACCACCACGTCCACGAAGTCCTCCGTCCAGTCCGACCACCTGCACACCGAGGATAACCATTAAAAGATCGCCTCCGGATGAATGAACTGACCAGAAAATGGTCTGAAATGATTTATGAATTGCGGCGGTTCTTGGGGGAAACGCAGGCGCACTGAGTTTGGAACTCCGGTTCAACAAAGCGCCGCGGTGGCCGCGGGGCCAAAGTGGAGTGGCAGGAGAGGGAAGACTTGTCCAGGGTCCCTGCCGGGCCGAGCCCCGCCACGCCGCGGCCCTCTTAGGCCCTCTTCGCGGACCGCTTCCCCGCCGCCGCGCCCCTCGCACAAAATTCAAACTTGCCGCCGGAAAATTTTGGCGCCTTTACCACAGCTGGTGTGGGAGCTAACCTACCGGCTCCGGGAGGGTAGGCCACCCATTCGACTGCGACGGGGAATGTCTCGGAGAGGCACACTTCTCCCTTACTTTCGGCTAATCGAAAACAAAGCGGTGGTTGCCGCTTGGAAAGCCAAGGTATCCCGGGGTGTAGTTGGCAATAACTTTGCGTGCGAGGCTGTCTGGCTGCAAGCGGCTCGGCTTCCAGCGCACAATGTGCCCCGCTGCTGAAGCGGTTAATTCCAAAGGGCGGTTCCCCTCCCTCGCACCCCTATGGGGCGCCCCACGGGAGCGAGAGAGACCGCGCGAAGAAAGCGCTGTTGGCATGAGCCTTGCAGTGTGGGACAAAGCCCAAAGACCGCGACGGATTTCGAGAAGAGTGTGCCGACAAAGTTCCGCAGGCGCTGCCCCCCTGCCAGCGTGCCAGCCCCTGCCCGAGCGCTCACCGCACTGCAAAACGCGGCGGCGGCGGGCGCGGCGGTTGCGGCCCGGCAGGGCAGGCAGGGCGATGTCTCGAACAAAGGGCGAGCAAGCAAGAGCAAGCAGTCAGGAGTCTGACGAGCCCTGAATGCCGCGGGGCACGGCGTGGGCGCGGCGTGGGCGCGGGGGTGCAGCAGAGGTGGGGTGGGGTGGGGTGAGGCAGCCGGGGCGAAGACAACGATCCGCAAAACGCGCCCCGCCGTCTCCGACATCCACCCCGTGCCGTGCCGAGCGATCCGAAGCATCGTATCGTCGCTGTCTCTGTCGCACTCACCCGTCCGGGTGCGAAAGAGAGAGAGAGACGCTTCGGAACGCACCCGGCGCGGCGAAACTCTGGGCGTTTTCTTGCGGAAAACAAGAACGCAATACCAATCCAAGTTGGCCGTGCCGTTCGGCCGTTCGGCGACTTGCCTGGAGGCGGGCGCGGGGAAGTGGACCTTGACGTCGCGGTGCTGCTGGCCGGGCGTGCCGGGCGGCCCGGGCGCCGGCTCCGCGTCGCCGGGCACCACGCTGGCCACGCTCACGGCCATGGCGGGCAGGCTGAGGCGGTCCGACGACCCCAGGGCCACCTGCGGGGACGCGGCCCACAGCAGCGACACGGAGCGCGCCAGGCGCTGCATCTCCACCACGTGCTGCGGAACACACAGACACAGTCAAATTCAGTTCAAACGTGTCCGAGGTTCACAGAGCACCTCCAGGCCCTCGTGCCGTCCCCGGTCGTCCTACCTGCTCCGAGTTGAGCGCGCTCGGCCGTCGCAGCAACAGGTCGAGCCCTTCGAGGGACAGCTTGCGGATCTGGTCGGCCTCGGACGTGGCGGCCGTGGACGCCTTGGGCGACGGCGGCGCGGCGGCGTCGGTGACGGTGTTGGGCGCGTCGGCGGCGAGCACGGGCCAGGGCGCGGTGGAGGCGGTGGCGGCCGGCCTGGGCAGCACGGCGAGGTGCTGCGCGGCGCCGCGGAGCAGGCTGAGCAGCGCGCCGCCCTCGCCGGGCAGCTGCAGCCCCGACGTGCCCCTGACCAGCGACAGCGCGTTGGACAGCACGGCGGCCGCGCTCGCGTTGGACAGCCCCAGCGTCACGGCCTCCATGCGCTCGCGCACCGCGGCCAGCTGGCGGGACTCGCAGGCGGAGAAGTCCGCGGCGCCCCAGTGCGGCCGGCCCACGTCCACCAGGCGGCAGACCCGCACCGCGGCGCGCCCCGTGTAGTGCGGCGGGCAGGGCAGCCTGGCCTCCGCCCCCGCCGCCGTGTCCGGCCACCACAGCCCCTGCGCCTCGCCCGCCGCGCACAGCGGCACGCCCTGGGCCACGCCGTTGGCGCTGTTCTCGCTGTCCGCCACCGGCTCCATCAGCTGGCCCTCGCCGATGACGTGCACGTCGGAGCAGGCCGTGCGGGACAGCGTGCGGCCGCGGACCTGCGGGGCAGAGTCGAAGTGAGCACCACAAGGTCGACGTCGAGGGGGTTGGCGACGTCGAGGACGTACCTGGCAGCAGTAGGTGGCGGTGCGCTTGACGGCGTACAGCCGCAGCAGCGACCCCGCGGGCACCAGGTCCTCCCACACCTCCTTGCCGGGGCTGAGCGGCAGCAGCGCGCGGTTCCGCGTCCACGTGAAGCCCAGCGACTCGCCGACGCCCCGGCCGCGGGATGGCGATGGGCCACCGCCGCCGCCGTCCCCCAGGGCGCCGACGTCTTCTGCGGCGTCCCCCAGGGCCAGGCACGTCACCGTCAAGTTGTCGCCCTGCCGGCAGGCCGGGACAGAC